CACCTGCACCACAAGCGCCGCCGCCGCCGCCGCTTCCCCTCCTCCCCCTTCCCCCTGCCCGAACCTGCTTTCCGGAGACTTGTTGAAAGCGCCCCTGGTTTCTTCTCGACCGTAGAGCCCAAAGTTTTGCCGGCCGGAGCAGCCGCCTCGCGGAGGAGCCGTGTGCTGGCGGCGACCGCTCCCCGAGCGCCCTTCTCCCGGCTCCCGCCCGGTAAGTAGCGCGGGCACCGGCTGGAGGCTTGTGCATTGCGGGCGAGCGGCGCTGCCCCCTCGCCCCCCGCCCGCTCCAGCGCAGACCCCGGGGGAAGGCGGCTCCTCGCGAGCAGCCTGCCCCAGCCCGGTTTCAGGGCAGTGCGCAAGAGGGGCAGCCCCGGGCCCTCAGATGGCATCTCCCTCCCCCCTCTCTTTCCCCCCTTAAAGAGCAGAGTTGGGCTCGCAGTGGAAGTGCTGCTATAAAATACAGTGACAAGCTTCCCCCCCCACTTGATAACTATTAATTATTTCCGAGTCATTGTGTCCAAATGCAAAACTGGGCTGCTTGCAAAGTGCAGCCTGTCTTCATTCTGCCTTTTGATCTGCCCTTTTTGGGGGGGGCTTGAAGTGAACCCCCCAAAAGACTCAAATGCCCCTTCTTTTTACTCCCCCCAACACCCTGGCACATGCTGACTGTTGAGACATATAATGCACCCAGCGCTGCATAGTCACCGCATGTGCTTCTGTAGATGCAGAGCATTTCATCCTGAACTTCTTTTCCTCCCAGAAGTTTGGGTTTCATTTTTAGTAGCTGTGATGTGAATGAGTAATGTGGGCACACTTTGCATAGCATGGATCTGCACAATATTATAGCATTTTGAATGCTTCAGGATTGAATAATGATACTATTTTAAAAAACAAACAAACCCAAAAACCAAACAAACCCTCCTCTCGACTACCTTGGCTATATGTCCAGCTTCTTTCTAAACTCCTGCCTTGACTGTGGTTACCTCCCTTAAAACAGCCCTGGCACTAATGGCAGACAAGGTCCTATGGGTAAATGTGATATCCTTTATTAGATATTTTCCAAGTAAATAGTTGGAAAACTTGTTAAATCAACACCCCTGTCACTAATGATGTTCCCTCTATTGGGCAAACTTTTTTTTTTTTTAATTTTTTTAAATAACCAAGTCTTCCAAGAAATTTGCTTCTCATTCTGTTCATTTACAGCCTTTTGGTTTAGTTTTGGTGAAGAGAAGAAGTAGGTGTTTAATGCTGAATATTATTTTACAGTTCTCTGTTCCAGAGAAGACAGCTCTTTTTCTTAAGAAGTTAGGCATGAGAGGTTTTCAGCTATCTGTAGTTGTACAAGAACAAAGTGGATGTCATGGAGGTACCGTGCATCTTTGAAACTAAATTCAGGAAAAGGAAGGGAAACTTGTACTACTGGTTTCAAGTTCTCCCTTCAAATAAAATGGGGTGGCGGGGAGGAGGTAAAAGGATCTAGAAGTATCTCACAAATACACAGAATGAACGAAGGGGGGGAGGTTGTCTGTCCGCTAGTTCCCATTCAAAAGGTGTCGGCTAAAATCTCATTGCAAAAAGGTATTGTAGCTTTAACATCTTGCATTGGCAGCATTCTTTCCCCTTAGTCTTTGGATTAGTCATTGTATGAGAGACAGAAAAAAAAAATCACTTTTTTTTTTTTTTTGAAAAAGTAAAGTAAACAGCCTCCAACAAGTGAACCTTGACAACCCAGATTAAGGAAGGCAGTAGAGATCAAACAAAGCTGCTGCTGGGCTGTTGTCAGGAGCTGCCTCACTGAAAGCTCTGGACTATTCGATCAGGCAGCAAGGCTATATGTTCACTTATGCAGAAATGGACCATTACAAATGCTGATCTTTGTTGTGAAACCAAAGGATAACTTTGCAAAGAAAAAAAAATCTATTTCCATCGGCCTTTTCTACTGCTTCAGATTCTGATTTGCAAACCTAGTTAGCTTTTTTTTTTTTTTTTTTAAGAGTAATCT